CCAGCAGTAGATGGGGCTAGAGTAAGGTTAGCAGATTTTTTTCAATGAATCTGGGGACACTTTTCAACTTCAATGGATTTTGTCAGGGGTCTGGTTTGAAATATGGGGACTGTCCCTGGGAAATGGGGGACGTCTGGTAACCTTAGGCTAGAGGCAACAGTTTTCTCTTTCCCTCTCCCCCCCACTCCTTTTTCCTCTTCCTCTCTCTATCTCTGCACCCCTTCTCTCTCTTGTCTATTCCCGCTACACCCTTCTCTCTCTCTCTGCTACCTCTTCCTTCCCTCTCTTCAAAAGCTCAGTTGGTTAGAGCTGATAAAATAAAAGTCGCAGGTTTGATCCCCATAAGCTGCGTATTCCTGCATTGCAAGGGGGTCAGACTAGATGATCCTCAGGGTCCTTTCCAGCTCTGATCTATATGGTACTTCTATTATTCCCTCTCCCCGTTTTCCCCAGGCTACCAAATGAAATTAGGCTGAGGGCAGCATTTTGCCCACCCTGTCCTAGGGGTGTGAGTGTCTGTGTTGTCCAGTAAAGTCCTTTGTTGGAAGCATTGGTCAAAATATGTTTTGACTTGCTGTGCAAAATAAACTTGTGGGACTCATTGCCACAAGGTGCGATCACGTGTGTTTGTGTTTAAAGTGTCGGACGGATTTGCAGATAGACTTTTCAATTAGTCTCCATCAGTTATGAAAGTTGAACTGGGTGGAAGGTTACTGTGCATAAGAAGCAGCTCTTCTGAACAAGGGTGGGTGGGTGGATGATGTGCCCCTGATTGACAGCTGTGAGGAGTCCAGTGTTCAATTGGAGAGGTTTCATGGTATCTATAACATATAAACAAGCTGCACTCTATATGGTGTATTTATAGCGTGTAAACATAGCAGGTGTCGGGGGAAGGAGGGCTTGTTGCTCTGGGCCATGGGAGGTGGTGAGTTTCCGTCATACACGGGCAACCAACAGGAAGTTTGTGGCCCAGCCACCACCCCCCATCTCCCTCAAGATCTACACTTCTGACTATTTAGTTTTGCCCCTAATCTCCTCTCTACAGCAGTGGCAGTGCCTTCTCTCATCCAGGTGAGTAGTGGACCCTTTCCATAGGAGTTGGGGCAGATGTGGAGGGTCACTTCAACTCTTCAATAAGTTTCTTTTCATACTAACTTCCTGGCTTCATTCTGCCCCCCCCCCAAATGTTTAAACTAGTAGTCATCACACATCTTCCGGCAGTGAGTTCCACCAGTTAATTTGGGCAATGTACAGTGGTACCTTGGGTTACAGATGCTTCAGGTTACAGATGCTTCAGGTTACAGACTCCACTAACCCAGAAATAGTACCTCAGGTTAAGAACTTTGCTTCAGGATGAGAAAAGAAATTGTGCTCCGGCGCGCAGCAGCAACGGTAGGCCCATTAGCTAAAGTGGTACCTCAAGTTAAGAACAGTTTTTAGGTTAAGAACGGACCTCCAGAACAAATTAAGTTCTTAACCCGAGGTAGCACTGTATGAGGAATGTTTACAGCAGCGGTCAGCAAACTTTTTCAGCAGGGGGCTGGTCCACTGTCCCTCAGACCTTGTGGGGGGCTGGACTATATTTTGAAGGGGGGGGAGATGAACGAATTCCTATGCCCCACAAATAACCCAGAGATGCATTTTAAATAAAAGGACACATTCTACTCATGTAAAAACACACTGATTCCTGGACCGTCTGCAGGCCAGATTTAGAAGGCGACTGGGCCGGATCTGACCCCCGGACCTTAGTTTGCCTACTCGTGGTTTACAGCTTTTCAAGCAGGACAACTGCCCCAAAATGTTGAAGTGCTGAGTGCTCCTTTTTCCTGGTTCCAGCAGTCAGTCAGTCAGGATGGCCCTCTCTTTCAGCACCCTCCATTCCATATCACACACACACACACACAGACTGTCTTCTCATTGGGCTGGGCTGGGGCATTTTTAAAAGGGTTGTTTGTGTGTGTGTGTTCTTGCAAATGTTGTGGTTTATTAGTCAGCCCCGTTTTGACCTTCTTTCCACTGGTGTTTAATATGTTTCAGTCTGTCTGAATGTCTCGTTTGTATTTTACCTAGGTATTTGCCTAAATCGGAAATATAAAATGTTGTGATAGTAGTTTTGCTTGCTTGCCTAATGGTAGAATTCCAAAGTTGTTGCTTATTGGACCTGTGAGCTTCCAGTTATACTTGCTTGCCACAATGGCTATGCTCTTTGCATATCAGATGCTGGGAAACATCGCAGGTAGAGAGAGTGCTGTTGCTTGTGCTCTCCTCCCAAGAAGCATCTGGTTAGTCACTTAGGAGCAGGGGGCTCCCAGACTGTGGTCCCTGGACCACCAGCGGTCTGTGAGCTTAATTCAGGTGGTCTGCGGCATGTCTGCAGATTTGTGGTTGGTTGAAGATGGGAGTTGGCGCATCCTTCGCATGAAATATAACGATTTTCAATCGCTCCTCTCTTACTTATTACATTGTATTTTATTGTATTACCATTTGAATTTCTTGGTATAAAATATGTAAGAAATAGAAGCAGTAAAAACACACAGCATCTAGAACAGCACATTGTAGTTGCTACAAAAGGCAGACCAAATAATCAAGTGGTACGGATTGGGTCCAAGTTATCTGAAAGACCGTATTCCCTAGTACAAACATGCCCTGCTTTTGAGATATTGGGGTGCCCCATCCCCCCCACTCTTGGTCTTGCCACCCTTGCAGAGAAACTTGGTAGGGCTGTGTGTGGGAAGGGCCTTCTCGGGGGCTGCTCCCAGACTTCCCTAGAGAAGTTAGACTGGCTCCCTACTTGTTGTACCTTCCACCGGCAGGTGAAAACTTTCTGGTTCCAACAGGCTTTTCGGAACTGACTACTTTCAATGAAAGGGCTGGTGCTCAGCTGTTTTTATTGTAATTATCTTTGTGATTTTAATTGAATGATAGATATAGTTTTAACTCTATCAATGTTTAATTTTTTAATGATTTCACCCCTGTTTTAAGCTGTTATTATTTTTATCTGCAAGCTGCTTTGAGTCGCTGTCTGGGGAAAAGGCAGCGTGTTAATTAATAATAAGCACCCACAGTAATATTCAAGAAGTCTATGGAAGGGTGTCTCTGAACTGCTGTCCTAGGGAACAGGATGCTGGACTAGATGGGTCTTTGGCCTGATCTAGCAGGCTCTTGTGTTCTTATGGGGTGCTGAGGGTTTGCAATGGGCTCCCCTGCTGGGTTTGGGGCTTGGAGCGCAAAGCTGCTCACCACGTCTGGAATGTACCTAAACCCACTGCTGTTGTAGTGTTAAGCTAGATGTCTCCAGCAAAGCTTGCACTTCTTTTCTTATATTCCCACTGAGAATACTCCCACATCTGCTGCTGAGGGATCCTAGGATTTGCCCCCCATCCCAGTGTGAAAAGCATTGCTGTATGACCCCATTTTTTTGAAAGGCTCATCTGGATGGAGGGAAAGGTGGGGAGCTGGCTCCTTACAGTATTTTATATATCACATTTATATTATATTATATTATATTATATTATATTATATTATATTATATTATTATTACTATATTATAGGGACGCAGGTAGCGCTGTGGTCTAAACCACTGAGCCTAGGGCTTGCTGACTGGAAGGTCGGCAGTTCGAATCCCCACGACAGGGTTAGCTCCCGTTGCTCAGTCCCAGCTCCTGCCAACCTAGCAGTTTGAAAGCACCCCAAAAAGTGCAAGTAGATAAATAGGTACCGCCCTGGCGGGAAGGTAAACAGTGTTTCCGTGTGCTGCTCTGGTTTTGCCAGAAGCGGCTTAGTCATGCTGGCCACATGACCCGGAGAAACTGTCTGTGGACAAACACCAGCTCTCTTGGCCAGTAAAGCGAGATGAGCGCCGCAAACCCAGAGTCGGCCACGACTGGACTTAACGGTCAGGGGTCCTTTACCTATATATTATAATAAACATTATATATAATAGTAATATATATATATATATATATATACACACACACACTTTACAGAATTTAGGAAGAGGCAACCTGAATATGGCGAGGTGGTCAGAGACAAATTTATGGAATAGATGGAGAAGAGCCATCAACGCTGGCTGCTAGTTGTCATATAGCTAAATGGAGCTTCCAGATTCAGAAGCAGTCTACCTTTGAACACCAGTTGCTGAGGGACATGAAGGGAGGATCTATTGCTTTGGGAGGTATCTAACTAACCTCTCTGGGAGGATGTGGAATGCTGACCTACCGTAGGTGCCTTTTTGTCCTCCTGATCCAGTAGGGCTCCCTTTTACAGAGGGGTTGTTGCCTTTGCCACTCCCTTCATCCCTGACTGTTTGGCATGCTGGTTGCTGGAAGTCCATCAAGACCTGGAGGCTGCCCCCACAGGTTGCCCCCACCTCCTGTCCTGGCACTGTCCTTTTGGAGAAGAATTGGATAGTGCATCGTTGCAAAAGGTTGAGAAAAGAGCAACCAAAATGCTCTAGGGGTGGAGTGCTCCCCCATGAAGAAAGGTTGCAACGTTGGGGACTTTTTAGTAAAGAGGCGACATGATAGAAGTTTTCAAAATCTTGCATGGCAGGGAGAAAGCGGATAGAGGAGAAAAAAATTCTCCCTCTCTCTAACACCAAAATTTGTGGATATCCCATGAAAGATGAATGCTGGAAGAATCAGGACGGGGGGGGGCAGGGGAAGTAATTCATGCAGCACATAGTTAAACTATGGAACTCACTGCCACTGGAGGGCCACCAACTGGGATTGCTTTAAAAGAAGACTGGGCAAATTCATGGAGGTGAGGGCTATCAATGGCTGCTAGCTGGGAACAACTGGGGGCTCTTGCGCTCGGATCCTGCTTGATGCTGGACTAGGTGGACCACTGGTCTGATCCAGCAGGCTCCTCTTCTGAGAGTGAGTGGGGTGGGGGGCAGAGCTTGCTCCGCTGCCTCTCTCTCTCTCTCTCCTCTGAGCCTGGCTTGGTCCCTCCCTTCCCAGCTCCGGGAAGGGGAGCGAGCGAGCGGAGAGAGAGAGTCACACCCATCCCGGGCTGAGAGTTACAAGAGCCCAGCCCTAGACTGGGTGCTGCCCACTCGGTGCGCTCCTGCGGCAGGGATACCACGCGAGAGAGCCTGCTCGCCGGGGCTCAGCTACCGCCTCCAGGAATCCAGGACAGGATCGGGGTCTGGGCAGAAGCAGCGACCGGGACGACGCCGGGCATGGCCGTGCCGGGCAGCTGAAGGCCACGGACCCGCAGGTACCACCCGGGCGGGCTGGCAGGCAGTGGGGGGAGGTGGTCAGCTTGGGCCGGGAAAGGGGGGGCGGTCTGGTAGCCCCATCGCACGGCCACAGCCTCACCAGGGCTGACGGGACTCTATTTAATTGCCCCCCCCAAAAAAATCCTCCTGCATACTTGAAAATAAACTTGGGCACATTTTTGCAGAGCACAAGTTAGTCTCCTTCGAGCGCCCCCCCCCTGCTCAAAAAGCTTGTATGTTTTAAAAGCTGTGCCTTGTCGAAAAGGGTTCCCCTCTCTGTTTGCTTAGCCCCCCCGTCCAGCCTTGGCACCTCTGGGCAACGCCCTTGGCACACGAGGCGGGAGGGTGGCGGAGCTTCCGCAGCCCTTTTTCTGCAGAGAAGTTGGTGGAAAAGTTGTTTGAAAGTTTTGGTGCGCGTGGAAACCGGATCGGTTTCGGGTGCGGAGAGGTGACCAAGCGAGGGGGAGATTCCGGGATCTGTGCCGATTCGTATTTATTGGAAACCGAAGTTATGGAAATGACTCTGAATTAGAGCCACCCACTCACTCCCTCTCACTTCGAAAAAGTCCAGGGCTTTCCGCTGGGTGTGACCCCGCCCTATCGTACTTTGAGGGGAGGGGTGCCCATTGAGAAGTGGGGGTAGCAAGACCTGGTGTAGGAGCGGGGCTGGATCCACAACTGGGAGGCTATCCGCGTGTGGCTAGGCGGTGTGTGTGTGTGTGTGTGAAAACCATCGGCTTGTTTACACGACGTTAGTTGGGCTAGTTGGCTGGGGGGGGGGCTTGAGGGGCGATGCGAGGGGGTGGTGCTTTTGGAAGTAGGGTTTTGTCCGGAGGCGAGTCTGATGGAGGGGAGCTCGGATGTCCCCCCTGGGTTGCTGCACGAGACGCTGGTGCGCATGCCCGTCAAGGCGTTGGCTTACTCCGGAGTGACTTCTTTTTGTGGCATCCAGTTTGCAGATCGGAAGGCGTGCAATCCTCAGGAGATCGGGCGGTTGCAAACAACGTGTGTGTGTGTGTGTGTGTGTGTGTGTGTGTGTGTGCGTGTGTGTGTGTGTGTGTGTGTTAGAGATCCCCTCCCAACCTCTTCGGACTTTTTGAATTTTGAGGGAATGACGCCTTTTTTGCGTTCTTTCGGATTACGGGGGAGTAAGGTCTGCACAGTCTTTTGCAAAGCCCATCTCTGCCCCCCCCCCGTCCCAAGGGTGTGTTTGTTTCTAGGGGCTGAATGGGCTTCGAAATTCCACTTCCCTCCCGAGAGTATTTTTTCTCTTGGCTTAATTCGGAGTGGCTCCCTTTCGCATTGCTTGTCGAGAAAAGTCTGGCGTTCTGTAGAATGGGGAATGTGCTGCACTTACGAATCCGCGTGTAAAAAAAATGGGGGGGGGGTGCGTCTTGCGCTGGATGTCACTTCGGATCCAGCCTGCAACAGGCGCGGCGACTCCTCCTGGGCTCAAACTTTTGCGCGTCGTTTCGCCGGAGAGGGAGCGGCCGTCCGTCCCCGCGGCCGCCTCGCCTGGCTCAGTCCGGGGCTGGCCCTCTAGTAGGTGGGGAAGCTCCTCCCTGCCGCTCCCCCCCCACTTGGCCCCCCTCCAGCTGCCTCTGGAATGCGGTGGTTGGAAAGACTGACTAATGCGAAGCAGGCTTTTTAGCTGGCAGAGGGAGGGAGGGGCTGAGCCCCGCTCCAAAACTTGGGATTGGGGGGGGGGCGGGTGAGTCCAGGAAGGGATCTCTCTCAAGCAGGAGAGAGGGGCAAAAGAGCCAAACGACGCAACACTTTGCATGCAAAGTAGGCGTGGGGGGGGGGTCGTCTCGTCTGTGGAGGCACCTTGAAGGAGGGGTAGTGAAGTTCTACAGAAACTGGCTGTGTGCATGCTTTTCTGTGGGGTGAGGCTGGGGGAATCTGGGAGCTCTGTGGGTCTGAGGAAAAGCACTTTGCACGTGGCTTGTCAGCAGGAGCTGCATAGGTGTGGAGCAGGGCCAGATTTGGGGAGGTTTTCAATAAAGAAGACTCTTTTCTGTCAGTGTATGGGGCATTCTGGGGAGCCAGGGGCCTTTGCACAGCTATTGGTAAGCTATTCCATGATGCTTTGAAGAAGTGTCTACAAATCCATGGGACAGACTTGAAGACATGTGTTTCTTCTGGGGGGTAGAGTTACAAAAGTTTCTCTTCCCTCTGCAGCCAACTCTCCTCTTTAGGAACACAGATATTTTAATGGAACCATGTGTGGGGTGTCTGATCTAGGGGGCTGCAAATAATTCTGTGGGAGTTTATATAGCAGAGAGGAGTGCTTGTTCCATAACACTGGTGAGTTTAATTTTTAGGGGCCCATAGGGGAGATTTATAGAAACGTGCATTTCTGAGGCTGTGCCCCCTGGGCTATGCGATTGAGCAGCTCTGTGCCCCACCCTATAGGAATCCACCCCCCCACCTTTGTTCTGTGCACCCCACATCCTTGTAGGGTCCCGTAGCAGACATTGTTCCCCTAGCAGATTGTAGGGGCCAGTACAGAGCTCCGTCTTGTTATAGAGTCCACTCTTGTTGGGGAGTTCCTCCACCTCTTCTCATCCAGGATTGTTGTTTTCCTCCTGGCTGGCTCTCCAGAGCCACAGGTGGGTCCACAATGACACCCAGCTTTGCTCTCAGTTCCACTCTGTATCTCTGGGCAAGGCCGAGATTTGGTTAGGTGAAAAGGGTGTTGGCCTCTGCCCTGGCAGGTAGGGCAGGCCGGAGCACACTGGTTCTGTCGCTTCTTCCTCCTCCACCACCGTGGTTGCTGGATCATGGGTTTCCTTTGGGCGTGGCACCTCTGCAGCAAGCAAACTCTGGCCTGGTGCAGCACTAACCCCCCAGACACTTTCTGGAGCAGTTCCTGGCCCCATGGCAGCTCGCTCGGAGCTCCCACGACAACCACAAAAGTTTATTTGAATTTAGTTGACACTGAACATTAACTCCCACCCCACCCCCTTTTTTCCGTCCTGCGTGGCAGGCGTCCCAAAAGTTTCCCTAGCACAAAAGTTGCTGGGTTTCCCCCTGAAATCTCCACTGGAATGGACAGCTCTGAAAAGGCGCTTTGATGGGTCGGGAGTGGAGACACTTCCCCCCCACTCCACTTTTCAAAGTGTCTTCGAGGAGAGGCCAAACGTCCCAAGTGAACCAAGTTGGGGGGGGGGGAGTGACCCATACACATAGCAAGGCCAAGGGGTGTCTTGGCCAGGCTAGTAGGCCGGACAAAGTTTTGTGTGTGTTGTCTCTTTTAAAGTGGCAAGATTCATGGTTGGCGCCAGAGGCACAGTCAGTCAGCTAGGGCTTTGGCCTGAGGACTTTGGGGGCTGTGGAGGGGGCGGCTCGCTCTGTCGGTAAGGGAGGGAGAGAACTTCAAGTTCAAAAACTCCCAACTCCTGACATGACACTGTGATGGGGTGGGCAGCCAGTGGGGGCCCTACCGGTAATTGCTGGCATCTAACTCCCATCACTCCTGAACATTGGTCATCCTCGTTGGGAGTCCAGCTGCATCAGGAGTGCCCCATGTTCCCAACTCTTGCCCTATTCTGAGGCCTAGTAGGTAGCCAACCCTGTGCCTTTATTACTAGACTGCAGGTGAGGGCTCAGCTGACTGAATGCTCCCTGATTACTGGGCTTTATTTGTTAGTATGGGTGCATATTCAGTCACATAAATCGCAACCCGTAGCTGTATAGCTCTGACAGAAGTTTACTACCTCAGTGAGAAGCAGGACCTCGAAGCGCCCATTGAAAGACAGCAGACTTAAGAGATGGATAGGACAGGACAAGGAGGCTTAAAAAGCAACCTGAAGACAGCCCTGGCTGAGTCCCCCACAAACGTTTCCTTTTCCCCTCACTGGCATTTTCTTCCCCTCAGCTCTTGAAAGGGAGTCTGTGTTTTCCAGCTTCCCTGCCTTGTCCACCTTGCACCTTCCTGGCTGGTAAGGCCTGTGTTGCATTCCTTCTTCCAGTTTGTTCATGAGGTGGTTCCTGGCCTGATCTTCAAGGCAGAGTGTGTTAATTTGCCTTTCGCCATGTGTCCCTTTGCTGCAAGGGTTTGTTGAGGGCACAATTAAGCAATAGGAGAAGAGAGAGAGAGAGAGAGAAACCCCTTTGAAGGTTAACATTAGTTTAGGGTCCGAAAGAAGGTCTTTTCCACTGGAGTCTTTCTAAAATAATAATAATGGCGTGCTTGCAATTATTTTAGGTTGCTAGTGTACGTTTTGGGACGTGGTCTTCCCAATACCAAATTTAGCTGTTCCGGGACAAATCGACAACCAGAGGGAGAATGGTTTTCGACCACCTGAAGAGAAGCTTTGCATTTTGAGGGTTGCATGCCTGCCAGCTGCTAGGTAATACAGTGATACCTCGGGTTACAAACACTTTGGGTTACAGACTCCGCTAACCCGGAAGTAGTACCTCGGGTTAAGAACTTTACCTCAGGATGAGAACAGAAATCACACAACGGCATCAGCGGGAGGCCCCATTAGCTAAAGTGGTACCTCAGGTTAAGAACGGACCTCCAGAAAGAATTAAGTTTGTAACCAGAGGTACCATTGTACTACATAACTTGGCTTTGGTCGACTCTTTTAGCTAGTGCACCACCCAAAATTAATCTCTGGCTTTCCTAATGTAAAGGCTATTACGTTGCTCTCTTTTTCTACTTCTGCCTAACCAGGAACTTGGGCATTTCATATACAGTGTGAGGCAGATCTGGGTAATAGCCTGGCTTTGCGTTTTTTTGAAACAAAGAGAATCCTAGGTGTGTAACCTGATCCCTGCAAGCACCTAGCAGAAGGCTAAATCAGTCTGCAATCTCCATCTTCAGACTCAGTTAAATGCAGATCTCAAAGTTTAAACCTCATCTGGACAACTCAAAAGTTTGCACACTGTTTTGTAACAGTTTGGCTGATTTTAATAGAGATGTGTTGCCCAGCTGTGGATTTTGGAGTGGGGTGCCTTCTCAGTTCTGGGAGAGAGTTGTGGGTGACTTTAA